AGACATCTGTAGGATATCAGTTCTATCAATCTGTATTATCGATCAATTTCTTTCTGAACATTTTGAGTTTTTTACAGAATCTAGTTGCTGTGAAGGATTCACATTTGGCAGCTTTTTGAAAGAGACGAGTGATGTTTGAGTTCAGCTGAGGAGAAAACACGTGAAACTTGGTTCTTCTGGAGGTTCTGGTGGTTCTTGGAGACATTCTAGGACTTCCTTCAGCGGCTGAAGGTCCTTGAGGACTTGCCGGTGGTCTTTAAGTCAGTGTAAAAGGTTTTGGGAGGTTCCTGAGGAAGCTGGTGTTCTTGTGGGGGCTCTAGAGTCTGCAGGTCCTTGACGATGGGCTGAAGGTCCTTGAGGAGGCCGTGCGTTCCCCTGAGCAGCTTCCATGTCTGCACCGAGGCCGCAGCAGCTTCCAGGTGGGTGCTGTTGCTATGCTCACCTGCGGGTTGCCGAGGTGAAGCCCTGGCAGCCAATCAGGGCGCAGCAGGCTGCGGCAGAGTTTCCCAGGTTTCTCCTCCGAGCAGCTTAAAGCAGCTTCACAGTTTGATCCGACGGCTTCACTGGAAAAAACTGGCCGAAGGCGAGAAGCGCTGCAGAATGTCAAGAAGGCTGAAAGGAGGAGCAGAAATCATGAGTCTGTTCACATGATCAGCAGGAAACTGGTTCATCTGCAGCCGCCTGAAACTCAGCAAACAGCAAAACACTTTAGCTGCTGTTAACTGGAGCGCTGTTCAGCTGGAGTCTGGATCACAACTGCTAACGTCTAACGTGCTAAAACTAAAAAACCAAAACAGGCCATAAGAGGTGATCAAGTTAGTGTTTTTATAATTAACTATTTTACAACACGTGACCATAAAATCACACAGTTTGCTGTATTATTTTAATTAACATAAATACGGTTATTTTACAGATGATAATTTCCAAGTTAACAAAAACAAAAATGATAATAAAAATTTGTATTTTTACATAAAAAGTGATTTGTTCTTTTAAAATATGTTTCACTGTAATTAAATCCACAATTAAAATGTATATATTTATATTTTAGAGATATGTTTGAAAGAAAAAAATTATGAATATTAAGCATTGAAAAATGATAAAAGAAAAAAGAGTTTTTATTCACAGTTTTTTCCTGTTTTGTTAAATTTACGAGATAATATCTCGTAAAATCAGTAATAAAATATTACTTTACATTAAAAATGGGCAAAAACTGTAAATAATAAAAATGGTTTCAAAATCACCGTATTGTGTTTAAATCAGCAAACATCTCATTATTGAACAAATATTTGTTGTTGTTTTAAAGAAGAATTATGTATATTTTATATTGAAAAATGGTAAATAAATGTTAACTCCTCTTTTGCTGATTTTGTTTAATGACAGATGGTCGAAGTAAAATCACAGAAAAACATTAAAAACAAAATCAAGCCCCAAAAAAACACATCAAAGATCTGTTTAGTTAAATTACATTTTTTACATCTTTTAATAAAATTAAAGTTTTATTGTGTTTAAATCAGTTAAAAACGTCTATTATTATTTTTGCTGCTGTTTATCCACGTTTTAGAGATTTTTCTTTCAGGGAATCTAAAACAACTGATCTGTGTTTCCGCTGACACGGTCTCTTCAGATTTTTAACGTTTTTATGACGTGAAGTCAGACGGCAGTGTTGGTGTTTTATTTATGTATTTATTTTGGCGGTGGTTGCCGTGGTGATCCAGATAGTCAATAATAAACAGCAGCGATCGATAAGTGAACGAGAAACAACCAGCAAAATGTTTTGGGCCGATCGATGAATTAAGGAGCTCCCGGTGAGGCCGGCCGCCGG